ATAATCTTAGAATACCTCGACATCAGTCTCGATGTATCCGAATTCCTATTATAAAGGAGGCATCACCAAGATCTTTCATTTCAAATTTTCCTGATAGAAATGTCTTGGCTTCGTGCATCATACATATATCATTAGTGGCAAGCAGTATGCCATCAACATACAAGACTAGGAAAATGTACTCGCTCCCACTGAATTTGTGATAGACACAATCCTGAAAAACATTCACCTCAAAACTAAATGAAAGAATTACTTAATGAAACTTGTGGTACCACTAACGAAACACTTGCTTTAGTCCATAAATGATTTTGTCAATTTGTAAACCATATTCTTTGATTATTCTGACACAGAATTTTCTGGTTGCACCATTTAGATTGTTTCATCAACGTTGCCTCTAAGAAATGCCATCTTGACATCCATTTAATGGAGTTTTAAATCATAATGTGCAAAAGAGGCCATGATTACCCTAAAAGATTCTTTTGATCAAATAGGAGAAAGAGTCTTTTTGGAGTCAATCTCTTCCTTTAAGGTATAACCCTTAACCGCAATACAAACCTTACACCTCTCCACATTACCGTTAGAATCTCGCTTGGTCTTAAAAACCCATTTGCAACCAATGAGTTTCACACTTTCTGCTAATGGGATCAGTTCTAAAACCTTATTGTCTTGCATAGACTTATACTCCTCATTTATTGACCAATATTGTAGTGTTATATTTGTGGGAGTCCCAAACTATGGCGCCATCGCTCGAAAATCATATCGCCCAGGAGATGACTCTGAGACATACATATTATTTATACCCAAAAGAGCATAACACTCACTAAGGTCTTAATACACGACTGACCACAACCATACGATTGCCCATAAACATAACCGGTCATTAGTAGAGCCTCTCACTTCACGTGAGCAGGACGTCTAAACTACCTTAAAACACCATCATACAAGGCTTTTCACTGTCGTGGGCAAGCCCTAACCACCATATCGTGTTATAAACCTACTAAGGCATTTCAATCTCTCTGCCCTGGTAGGGGGAAGATGCACACCTGTACTTTTTGGCCAGTACATATACCATTTGTCTCCTCCTCTGTATAGATTGTTGATTTGTTTACAAAGACACATTCTATTAAAAATTTTTGTTTCTTGAATGAAAAATTCTATATTCTTCTCACTAATGCATCATGATTTTGAGGGGATATTTTATATATTAGTAATGTCAGTTTGATCTTTTACATTATTTAATATTTATAGTCTATTTTAAATCGTGTTCTCTATAATTTTGTCATTCTAATAGAAACCCTAGTCTCTTTTCTATTTCCTCTCTTTTTTCTCTTTTGTTAGTAGCTTTTACTTGCCTAAGCCAAATTGGCTAGTCGAATATAGCACTATAGCACGACATATGCCGTAAGGATTTCTTGGAATAAAGTACAAGCAAACTCTGTGATTACATCAACATCATTCAAAGAAAATCAAACGCTGATCTACATATCACACAAAATACCGCGTTGCTGATTCTATGAATTCCACCTAAAATTTGTATTGTTTCTCTTACTTATAAGGATACATGATCACTGCTAACAAAATTAAATTTAGAGATATTAATTTTCCACTTATGTATTAAGGTACATATTACAAAGCCATAAAAAATCAAACACCCTTGATTACAATGACATAATTATTAATTATCAGAGTGCTTATGAGTACATCATTCCCTCTCGAGCAATTTTTGACATTATGTATCACCCTTCTACCAATTTGGTTATATATTTAGGTCCAATATGGATCAACGACGCAATCTATGTGTATTAAACTAGGACAACTTCTTCACAACCTTACTGTTATAGATATGAAATGGCATTTGTGAGATATTGGATTGAACTCTAGTATTGTCGACTGGGATAACTTTCATGTTTTAATAGGAGACAAGCATGAAGTTGAAGATTTTTCACATGCTGATGTTGAAGTGTTTACATATTGTAGTTGAATTCAATTCTAGTATGTAGTGTCGAATTAGTATGTCAAATTTGGCCTTGTGTTAAGGATTCAATTGTTTAGGTTAGCTTGTTATTTAAGTTACCTTGTAGTTTATAAATAAGTTATATCCTCAGGTTGTTGAGTGAGGCCAATTGTGTTATTCACTTGTAATTATTTGTAACATTGAGTAAGTGAATAAAAAACAATTTTCCCAAATCCTTCTTCCATATTTCTTCTTTATCTTTTCTTCTTTCTCTCTTTAGAAACCTAACAGTCTAATTGTTCATCAAGAAACTTCGTTTCTCATTCAAGAAAGTGTTGAAAGGTATCGTTTGTGATCATAAAAAACTAGTATGGTGAGCATGGAGAAGATGTCATCAACAAAGTTTAAAATTGAGAAGTTCATCGGAGTTAATGATTTCGGTTTATGGCGCTTGAAGATGCGAGCCCTTCTTGTTCAACAGGGTTTTCTATAAGCGTTAAAGGGAGGAGATGCCATGGATGCTGCATTAACAAATAAGGATAAGACAACGATGATTGAGAAAGCCCACAGTGCAATTGTTTTGAGTCTTGGTGATAAGGGTTTCAGGCAGGTTTCAAAGGAGACGGCAATAGCTGGTGTTTGGCTGAAACTCGAAGGATTGTATATGACAACTAGTAGAAGACCCGTGCGTCCGCACGGGATCCATAAAAAGGTTAATTTTTTAATATAAGAGCATTTGTTAAATAGAAATAAAAAAATCAAAATGATCATAATTTCACAGTATTAATTGTGAAAATATTCAACTGTTTTAAAATATATTGACAGTGCGTAACACAATTGTAATATGTTCAACATAGAATAAAAATAATAATAATAAATCTTTGATTCTAATAATACAGTAAGCCTTGTTAGAAGCAATTGAAGAGATTACATAACCTACAATCACGATAAATAAAATGAGAATTAGAGAAATGTTCTAATTAGAAAAGAGAACATTATTTTGACCTTGAAAAAATGACTTACATTTGCATGGTAACATTTGTATTATTTCTTCAAAAATGATAGTCTGTGAAAGCTTAATAAAGAAATATAGGTGTTAGGAAATATAGCAAACAAAAAAAGAGAATTTTATCAATAAAGTTAATAGTTTAAAGAAATAGTAAAAATGTACCTAGATGACATTGTGAAAAACTTCTTTGAAGACAACATTTGTTGTTTGAGTTAAGGAGTTGTTGTCTTTGTCATGTATTAAGATTTTCAATCCAGCTTTACTCTTAACTCTTGAAATAGCAACATAGAGTTGTCCGTGACTAAAAACATTCTTGGGCAAATATAAACCAACATAATCCAATGATTGCCCTTGAGATTTGTTGATTGTCATAGCAAATGACACTATAATTGGGAATTGTCTTCTGATAAGTTTAAATGGACATGGGGATTGAGAAGGAGACAAAGACATTCGTGGTATGTAAATAGTGTTTCTGATATTTGTACCTGAAATTATCTTTGCTTGTATTACATAGTTGGCTAACTTAGTAACTGTCAACCTTGTACCATTGCAAAGCCCTTCTGATTGATCCAAATTCCTAATCAACATGATGGTTGTACCAATTTTCAATTTCAATGAATGGTTAGGCAAACCAGAAGTTTTAAGACAACTCAAGAATTCTGGTGTCAAATACTCGAAAGCATGATTATCATTTGTTTCTGATCTATCAATGGAATCACAACTCAAATACTCTTTACATTCACCTTCATGAAAAAGAATGATTATTAAGGTATAAATATTTATATATTTGAAACAAAAAGAGTATACAACTCTTAAATATCATATTTAATAGTCCAACTTCACTAAAATACACATTTTTAAAGAAAAGAGTATTCATGTATCAGACATAACTAATAGAGATTAAAATATACCTGGAAGAAGATTAGTTATGTAGTCATTAATGTCGTCAACAATTTCAATAGTTGATGCTAGAATTGCTCGACATTAAAGGAAATCTAGATTTGTGTAATTTTGAAGTAGATTTGGATAGGTACTTGTAACAATTGCCTCAATTGGATCCACAAAATCTCTAATGAGTAGCTCTTTAGGAATATCTATTTCAACATAGCCATCATTGGGTTCTGAGACTTTCCCATTGCCAACTTGTAAAATCCAATCTGAGAATAGCCTAACTTCTTCTAAATTGCTTAAATTAGGACCACTTTGCAATCTCATATTTTTGGTTAGATTCAAAACTTTACAATGATCCCAAATATATGATGCATTTATTGTTGCATGGACAATATCAGACCTAGTACCTCTTGGTACAACAGGTAAAATTTGTCTGAAATCTCCACCAAAAATTACAACTTTGCCTCCAAAAATTTGTGGACATTCAACATTGTCATCACTCATTATATCCTTCAATGACTTGTCAAGTGCTTCAAAACAAAACTTATTAGCCATATGTGCTTCATCCTATATAATGAGTTTTGTTACCTTCAAGAGATTAAGAAGATCTGATTTTTTCTCAATGTTACAGATGGAAGATTCCAGACATGGAACTGGAATTTTGAATTTTGAATGTGCAGTTCTCCCACCTAGTAACAACAAACTTGCTATTCCGCTAGATGCTACATTTAACACAATATCTCCTTAACAACGCAAAGCAGCAGAAAGTGTGTTCCACATGAAAGTCTTTTCAGTCCCACCATAACCATATAAGAAAAAAAACTCCACCATTTTGATTTGTGACAGCTTGCATAACTTGTCTAAAAATTTCATGTTGTTCATCTACATTTAAAAAGAACACACCATCAAAGTTGTTACATTAGCAAAGTTTAAATGTTCAATTCCTGTTAGGAGGTATACCATAACCATTACCATATAATGAATATCATGAATATATAGTTACTAAAATCTACTCCATGAACAATATAGAATAGGTACCGCATATGTGTTTAACTTGATGAGAATGAAGTTGAACAATTATTATAGAAGGCTTAATAAAGCATAAAGTAATATTATTGAAATAATTGTAAAATCAATACCCGTTAATTTTTAAAATAGATTGTGGTAAATCTCTTCTTGAGCCTTGATATCATATTGTCTTTCATCATATATCAATCTATTTCCAAGAAAGTCAAGGACATAATTATTTGGATATGACATTGGCTTAAATTCTTTCAAACTTCTTCTATTTTTCTGCAGCTGCTTCTCAATTTCCATCAAAGTGAGTTGTTGAATATCTTCATCTGACAAAGTTAAATCTACAAAAAAATAAATAAACATTAAGTAATGAAAAAATATTATTGAATAAAAGTATTGTAAAGTGTTGTCAACAAAAGTGTTATAAGAAATAAAATGGAGGAGATAAAATATAACTTATTGTGACATAGATATAAAAAATATGTATTAATATAACCTGGATTTTGTGACAATAGTCTTTGTTCATATAGAATTCCATCTGATAAGTATATCCAAGTGTAAAGCCAAACATGTTCTGGTCGATTCAATGAAGCTGATAATAACATTGTAACAAAACGTTTGCGCAAAAATACTCTAGAACCCCAGTTATAAGCTTCTTTAATTGCCTCAATGAACTCTTTGTCATCTTCTAGGAAGCCCATTGCAAAACATGCTTCTCTAAAAGAATTGTGCTTGAACCCCTCAATTGTCTTTAATTCATCATAAGATCTTGGCCCTTTCTTCACAGTCAACAACATCCTCATATAATACAATTCTCCGATCGTTGGTGGGACCCAAATGAGTCGGCCAATTGTGTAACCTCTTTTACGTGGTTTCCAACACCTTTTCCTTTTGTCATATACAAATTTTGACACAAATTGTCCATATGTTAAAGACCTTGCTTCTTCATATTGGCTATTTGCGAGAAACCAAGAAGTAAACATAGATCCTCAGGTTGTTGAGTGAGGCCAATTGTGTTATTCACTTGTAATTATTTGTAACATTGAGTAAGTGAATAGAAAACAATTTTCCCAAATCCTTCTTCCATCTTTCTTCTTTATCTTTTCTTCTTTCTCTCTTTAGAAACCTAACAGTCTCATTGTTCATCAAGAAACTTCGTTTCTCATTTAAGAAAGTGTTGAAAGGTATCGTTTGTGATCATAAAAAACTGGTTTGGTGAGCACGGAGAAGATGTCGTCAACAAAGTTTAAAATCGAGAAGTTCACCGGAGTTAATGATTTCGTTTTATGGCGCTTGAAGATGCGAGCCCTTCTTGTTCAACATGGTTTTCTATAAGCGTTAAAGGGAGCAGATGCCATGGATGCTGCATTAACAAATAAGGATAAGACAACGATGATTGAGAAAGCCCACAGTGCAATTGTTTTGAGTCTTGGTGATAAGGGTTTCAGGCAGGTTTCAAAGGAGACGACAATAGCTGGTGTTTGGATGAAACTCGAAGGGTTGTATATGACAAAGTCCTTGGTGAATTGTTTATACTTGAAGCAAGCTTTGTATTCATTCAATATGAATGAAGATAAAGTGTTGGCGGAGCATCTGGATACGTTTAGCAAGCTGATTCTTGATCTTGAAAATATTGATGTTACCATCAATGACGAAGATCAAGTGTTGTTATTATTGTGTTTTTTTACTTAAGTCGCATGATCACTTCAAAGAAATCCTCTTGTATGGAAGAGATTCCCTAACCTTTGAAGAAGTTCAAGCATCCTTGTATTTGAAGGATTTGAATAAAAGATAGGAGCAGAAACCATCATCATTAGTTGGTGAAGGGTTGTCCGTGAAGGGGAAGTCCTCGAAGAGAGATGGTAGGTTTGAGAAGAAGAAAGGTAAAACTCAGCAGAAGTCTTATGGTGGGGATATTTATGGTATTAAGTGTTATTGTCATACCCTAATTTTTGACCCTAAGATGCCACATCATTTGTATTTCATTATCAACATACATATGTATAGTTTTATGCATCACTAACCCATATGGATATACAAAGATTATTGTTTGTTTCATTTAATTACTGAAGGTGAGAAAATACTTAGAAGGAGGGGGGGTTGAATAAGTATGACAAATAATCAAATATTCAAACACAGTTATTTTTATCCTGGTTCGTTGAACTCAACTACTCCAGTCCACCCTCTCAAGAGTGATCTGTCTTTCTCAGTCAAGGACTTAATCCACTATTTAATCAAACAGATTACAATAGTAACACCTAAGAACAACTGTTCTTAGTCTTCTCAAGAGCTACTGATCCCAACTGAATCCTCTTAAGGAAACCTTTTACAATCAATGTAAAACTATTACAAGAGTAAGAATGCTTCTAAAAAGCTATTATCACAACTATGATATTTCTCTTAAGTTTAAGAACAATGCTACAGCAAATAGAATATAAGAGCTTTTGAGAGATTTGCTTGAGTGATTTTTGCAAGTAGTTCATTACTGAAGAAGATGGAGTGGACTTCTTTATATAGGCACTTAGATCCATGAAGTCTTCTCAACGTTGGAGGCTGTGCTGAAAAAGCCTGGAGCCTTTTGTCTTTACGTTGGAGGCTGTGCTGAAAAAGCCTGATGCCTTTTGTCTTCACTTTGCAGAAACTTTCCTTAGAATGGAATGCATAGATAAAACCTTTTTGTCTGTGTTCTTATGTCTAACATAAAAGAGGAAAGAGCTGTTGAGATATGCCAACGGACATATTCAAATCTTCTTCACTAAGTAAGTTCAGCTATCAACATCAGAGTCTGGATCTTCAGAATCTCCAGAGTAGAGATCTTATGGATCTTCAGAGTCTTGAGATGTTCTTCAGATTATGCTAAATCAGAGTATATGCAGCTTGTGTGCTTGAGCGTGTAGTTCTGTCAGAGCAGAGTCTTCTATATCAGATTCTCAATACTTATGCAGCGCAGTATCTTCAGAGTCTTCTGATGACTAAGCTTCTGAAATCTCAGAGTCTTCTATTCTTTAGAGGCTTCTGCTTCAGAATCTTCAGTAGACAGCACTCAGATTCTTCTGGAGGCAGCATTCAGATCTTCATATAAGATGCTCTTGAATCTTTGAAGCCTTTCATAATATCATTGTTCAGATCCAAATTTTCTCTTTAAGAATATTTTCTTTAGTGCCTGTAGCAAATAGTCTAGAATAAATTTAGAGTATATAATTCTTGAATACAAAATTCATAAGTGTTATCATCAAAACATAGAGATATTACTAAGAAACAATCTATGTTCTTACAATCTCCCCCTTTTTGATGATGACAAAACATGAGAAATTTTGTTCAATAAAAAGTATGAATTATAACTCCCCCTGAGATTAACAATCTCCCCCTGAAATGAATACTCTAATAAAAGAAAACACTTCCCTTTTTGATTGAGTATATTTCAGATTCAGAGCCTGATGCAAGAGGTTTGACTTTCAGAATCAAATCTTGATGCCAGATGATTATGACTTCCTTTAGTCAGAGCGCCTGGTTATCATCTTGCTTGAATTATCTTTCAGAGTAAAGGTATCAGAGTAAGATATTAGAGTTGATTGAATACTCAGATTTGCCTTGGAAGATCAGGTTTTGGTTGAAAAAGTCTCAGGGTAACTTCAATGAATTATGTCAGATATATCAACGTAATCTGAAAGACTTAAATTCAAAGTAAGTTAATAAAATGTCTGAATTTCAGTTTTAGTAATTGCTTATAGGTTGAACAATCAGATTCTCTTTTTCTCCCCCTTTTTGTCATAATCAAAAAGATTTTTAAAGACATAAAGATACAGAAGAAAAGAAGCATATAGAAGCAAAAACATCAACTTTCATTTAAACATATTAAAGTTCACAATCAAACAGATAGATGCCAAAAAGCATAACACATCAATAAGAAAACAACAGAAGCAATAACATGTGCAAAAACATCAAATAAAACTAAGTTTGGCGTGAGGCAATAAGGGTCAGAAGCTCTGTCATTTTGGTTGTTGACTCTTCTTGCTTAGACATCCAGGTCTTAATCTCATCAGTTGTCTTCTCTTGCTTTACCATCCAACTTTTTATCTCCTTGACATCATTCACAAGCTCTGTGACCACAGATGAAGAAGAAGCAGATGCAGTAGCAGCAGTGTTCTCTTCAGACTGGTTCTCTTCAGAAGCTTGTTCAACCATTTCAGATTCAGGAGCCTCTGGAGGAGCAGCTTCCAGAAGCAACACAGGAGGATGAGGAGGCATGTTCATCAGAGTAATCTTGATTAACTCTGCAAACTGAGTCTTTGCAACCTTAGAACATTTAGCTCTAACTTTTAAAGCAACTTTGTTGAACATCCAGATGAAACGTTTCCAAGCAGCATTTGAAACAGCCGGATCCAAACTTGACAAGCACACTTCCTTAACACGAGCATACTCAGAATCTATCTCCTTCTTGAATATTTCAAACATAATATTAACACATGATCCTAGATCTGACTGTTCAGGGGGTTCAGGATTGGGAGTGTTAACAGGAGTAGGTTCAGATGGTGTAGGTTCAGATGGTGTAGGTTCAGATGGTTGTTGTTGAGGTGGTGTTGGTTGAGATGTTTGGGTGTCAGATTGAGGGGGTTCAGATGGTTGAGGAATGGTTTGTGTTTCAGATAGATGGGCTTCAGATGGTTGAGGGATGGTTTGGGTTTCAGATAGGTGAGTTTCAGATGGTTGAGGGATGGTTATCTGAGGTGGGGAGTTGGGTGGAGTATGAAACATAGAAATGTTAACATGTTCCTTCATAGCAATGTCAGAACGAGCTTTCTTGAGAGACTCTGGTTCAAAAACAGATGAATCAGATGATTCACAATCAGAAGATTCTTCTGAGTGAACAGATGTAGAAGAAATATTAATGGATTGATTCAGGGGTTGGATATCCAGAATATCTTCAGAAAGATTTGGATCTTCTGGTGGAGCTGGTTGTTCAGAGTGTTTAGTTTGAACAGTCTCTGGTTGGTTTGGTTCTGTGATGATTATATCTGGTTGGGGAATTTCTGGTTGGGGAATTTCTGGTTGTGAAATTTCTGTTTGTGAAATTTCTGGTTGTGAAATTTCTGGTTGTTGAATTTCTGGTGAAGTAGGTTGAGGGGGTTCAGATGTAGTATGAGGTTGGGGTTTAGAGTTTGTTGGTACAGAAGATGGTTGAGATAGTACTGAGGGAGATGAAGGTGGTTCAGATGAAAGGTTTGCAGATGGTTGGGGTTTAGAAGTTCTATGTCTAAGGGTTGGAGAGAGTTGAGGTGATGAAAGGGGTGAATGAACAACAGGGGTAGGATTAGATGTTAATACCTGACGAATAATTTCTCTTATCTCTTCCAGAGTAGCATCCCTAGAATTGATTCTGGCTTTCTTTACTCCTTTCTTCTTCTTCTTCCTTGAAACTTCAGATTCTTTCCTTTTCTTCTGAACAGAGCCTTCTTCAGCTTTTCTCTTACTACGCCTTTCCTTCATCAGATTTGGCAATTCTTCTCCTTGTTTCTGAACAAGGTTAGCAGGTAGAGGAATTCCTTCCTTCAGACACTCTGCAATGTAAGCCCAGAAAATACCTTTTGGTTCATCTACGCTGAACATTGGAAAATCTTCTATAGGTATCCTTCTACCATTTACCTCCTCAGATTTTATCTTCCTTAGTTTACCATTCAGCTCTGAAATGATCTTCATTCTTTTTAGAGTGAGTCCGTTTATCTCAGATCCAATGATGTAGGACAAATCCTCTGTTGTTTTTGCATCTGTCAGATGCTTCACCAACTGATTCTCTGTA